GTGAGGATGAGTGCTCCACTCATCCTCACTCCAGGAGTAGGGGGGTTCTGTGAGTTGAGCTGAGCTCCTCAGCTCAACTCACAGAACCCCCCTACTCCTGTTAATCCATCTCCGGAATAACCCCCTCCAATCACCACTATATACTCACTCTCTCGCTCAGACATACACCTCCCATTACCCCTCTGTCCCACTAGATTGAGGGGGAGGGGCAGGCAGGATGTGAGACCAGCTGGTCATCAGCTCAGACAAAGAAACCTGCTGAATGAGCTTGTGCATCAAAAAGAAACAGACCTCTCACATTGCTCTTTCTTCATATTCTCACCAGCTCTGGATGTGTTTTCAATTTTAAGCGGGGTGGTGATTATGATGACGATAACGGTGATTGCAAAATATTACTTCTGCTTTCTCACAACCACAGTGGGGTGGGTCGATTTCACAAAGAGGAGATATTACTGTTTGTCTTAAGATGTGGACACGTTTACACTGTGTGGACAACGGCTTTACCCTACGTTATGAACAGCAGGAAAGCAGAAAAGCCAGATTTCGTTTTACCGCAGAGAGGCCACCGGCAGGTGCAATTTATCTTTGGCCCTAGCCTACTTCAGCTAGTCGCAGGGGAGAGACAAACCAGGACTCCACTGTAAAGTTAACTGGAAACTCGGGGAGGCGAGACAGAATGCATAACTCAAGAGGACACAGGGTGAAATATACACGTCCTAGATTATGACACTAAAACTTAGTGAGCATCCCACTTCAGGCTATAAATTCCAGTCAGGGTGATGTTCTCTTATACCTTTATTAAGGATTACACAGAAGATGGGTACAATCGCTTTTCCATAAGATACACTTGCCCATTCAAACTCGTGTAAACTGATTCGCATTTAGTCAAGGTTAAGTGAATAGGCCACTTTGGGTTTCATTTGACCGAAGGCCGAATAAACACAAGGGAGTCAGGAGAATGGCGCTCAAGATGTTTATCAATGCATTTTACATTCGCAAAGTGGCAAAGAAGCAGATACCACAGGAAGAGGCGCGCCGGCTTGCATGCAGGGGTCACAACTGTTGCGCTGCGGGGCTTTTTCATGGCCGGGTGAAGCCCTAATCTGCCCTTTAGCCACAGATCTGTCAGCACATACAGAGAGGGTGACAGCTGAGGATTTAAAAGACTACAACGTCACCCATCCTATTTAACAAGCATGTTTACATCCTGTCTCCATTCAAAACTAAATATCTGCACTCATAACTTTACCAAGTTAAAATAAAACCTTACAAGTTTATTCAGTCAAGGAGATAAACAAGAAAGCAGTGCATTCACAGCTATGACAGACAACTAAATAATGCACTTATTTAATAACATATTCGTCATACAACTGGTTTTGAGCAGTGTTGAGACAGCAAATCATATAAATTATTGTAACATTTACCTTCAGTTGTACCTGGAAGGCCCTATTAGGCAACAACACCGGCAGTGACATGCATAAAACCTGTTTGGCAAAGTCTTACCGGGGCACACCCAGTTAGGATTTGTTCCCTAGTTCAACAATAGAAGAGCAAGAGCAAGTGCATATATTGAAAAGCTGCAAACAGCAGCAACCTGCTGTTTGATTTTGGCAGGTGTAACTGATACACACACACACAATCTTAAAATTGATCATTTGAATCATGATATGCTTGCAGATTTAGTGTACCGTAAGCCTGGTGAAGGCCAACACAGAGCACACAGGAAACATGAAGAGCTATGACATTGGATATGGGAGGAAATCAGATGGGTGAATGGACTTCTTTGTAACCTGTCATGGGACTTGAGAGTGGCTAAAAAGATTATTCCCTCTTCCTCCATATGATATTCCAGCCTAGGCTAGTTTTTCAAAGCGGCTAAAAAGAAATTCAGACAGCAAACATCCTTGCTGAGAATACAGAGCTGAAAGTAGAGAGACTACTACATTTCATTTGACGATTTATGACTTTTATTAAACTTTAATTAAGATCAATGATTTCTCTAGCATTGCTTTGGATTCAGGAGAATTTGGCCTTTTATACTCGGGGTTTTCCTAGAAGTTTTCTGCAGACAAATCCAGCTTACATGTGTAGTCACCCACCAAAGGCCCGTCTTAAGTCAGGAAAACCCTGACAGTCAAACTACATGGTAATTTACACAATAAGGAACCCAGCAGCAAAACAAATGCATGATTAAGGACTCCCTGTCATGAGAAAGAGAGTGGCATTAACAACTAAGGATGTATGAACATGTGGGGAATCCCCATCCAGTGGTTGACTTAAAAGGCTCTCTAAACCCAGTCCACACACACATAAGTCAAACTTAATGCTATTACTGTTCTACATAAAATAATCAGTGCCCGGATAAGATGCTCTTGAATTAGGAAATGGGAGACATCATCACCAGAGATAACAGCGAGCAGTGCGGTTGGGGCCGAGTCATAGCAATCTTAAGAAACTGTCAGGATGGGGCGTGCAAATCTCCCATCTGTTCACGCCGTTAAACCCCTACCAACAGCATCCAGACCCATGCACACCCAGCGTGACACTAATTACTGCTACATCTTGACTGCTTTATTCTTCACTACCAATTTAAAAGCAGTTAACTGCATTTCAGCATCTATAGTTTGTGAAAAGGTGCTTGAATCTTTTTCAATACGTTACCTATCACATACACACACACACCTGGCCAGCGCGTCTTTGCTAATTTAAAAGAAGTGACAGTTTGCAGAGGTGTCACCCCCTGAGCCGATTATTCTCCATCTATGGCACATGTTGTACATGGTGGTGCAGGAAGAAAGCAGGCCAGGCTGTTCAGGCTGTTTGTCATATGAAAGGTTGGCTCGTTCACAGACGCACATGATGAACTGATGAGCAACAGAAGAAAAAAAAACAAACAACTAGGATGTGAGACTGAGTCTAAAAATAGCTGAAGACTGACTAGTAGGTCCAGAGAGTCATCTCTGACTTGAATACATAGTGACAGGGCAGGAGCACAGAACTGCACAGAGGCACTCAGCTGTGAGCTCATAGTGGCAATGCCATTCATCATACAGTCAGTGTCCTTGTTTCCAACCCTGTATTGACCTGACCCCCTCGCGCCGCTTCCTCGCTGAAGCCCCGCTGATTCTGAGGACCACAGAGCACCCAGATGCTTTGTGTCTGCACGCTACGCATTTACCGTGACCACAGGAGACATTCTGTCACCACACATTTATGTCTCACGATTGAAGCCAGCGCCACGCAGACAGGCTCAGTCGGTTAGCCGTCTGTGCCGGAGTATTTGGGTGTATCTGTCACTCTGTGTTTCAGAGGACAGGAACCAGGTACACCGTGGATGTCTGTCAGGTACGAAGTTGAGGAAAAGCACTCTGTCTGCCAGTGAACCTGATCAGGCAAACTAGGCTAAGATAGTTCAGCTGATTTTTTTCTCCATGCACAATAGAAAACCTACAAGATTTTAATTCCTAAGGCAGTAAGAGAGTAGTTTAAAAAAAACTAAGGGGAGAAAAGGAAATAAAATACAAAAATTGCCCAAATAAGTCTACACCTGTAGTTCTCAGACTGTGGGGTGGAACAGAAATATTTTAAGGTTTTTTTTTTTTTCCCTTATTTATGTAAAGTTTAACTTGGATCCTTGATGACTGATTACAGCAAGACAGTGATAGGCTGTCTCTCTGTTTGCAAGAGACAGCCAATCACAAAAAGCTGGCTCTGACTGGATAGTAAAGGAAACTAAAGCGGCTTATTTCAAACGGTTACAATCTCAAGGGCTGCACCAATGCACAGTGTAAGATAAATGTGGATTATTTTAAACTTTCAATCATGCAAAGCTACTTTATATGAAAATATGATAATGGTTGTCCCCTTTTCTTGTCTTGAATATCAGTTTTATTTACCAAAAGACTGTAGGATAAATGGTCAACAGTGGTTCCTGCAATGAATGTGTATCTACTGCTCTGAGAAAATAACAAAAAGCTCTATTGTGTTTTGATTCCCAGGTGGTCCAGTGCCAACACTTCAGCCTCGGCTGACCTTGAGTTGTTAACAATCTTTATCGGTGAATATGCCACTCGTCCCTTTCACCACTAAAGCTAAAGTTGTGAGATAAAGACAGACAATGTCTATTCATACATACTCCCAGCAACATGACAATCACGATAATCACTGGTCTTACCGATGAACAATGTTTTCAACTAAACACTTGAGAGGCAAGAAGCAAGTGTTTTGTTCCGCAAGTCTGAAGAAATCATACCGACAGCAGTCCTGCTCCCCTTAAAATAAACTGAGCAGTGCAAAGAGAACTTTTGTCATATTTCAAACTGTGGGAGTGTGGGTGGGGATGGCTTTGCAAGTCATTCCACGCATGCCTTCAAGAGGCTGCATCCAATCCAACTGGCCAATGCTACAGGCAACACTGTGCATGCCAGCTGTTTTGATCCGAGCTAGTCCATCTACCCTCTATACTCTTCTTAACAGACAATAACACCCCAGTATTTACGCCATACTCTACTTTTTCTTCTATTGATAAACTCTGGCTTATCAGCACTCTACTGTTCTTGACAAAAAACACACAAATGATACTGGATTGGGGTTTTTTTTTTGTTTTTTTTTACTTAGGATTTAATTCACTTATATACTTAAAAAATAGAAAAGCCAAGATAAATCCATTGCAAATAAGGTAACACCAACTAATGGCTTTGACTGTAGAAGGACTGATTACTGGCCCCACTATCCACTAACATATGTGCAGCACAACTTTGTAATGAATGTGTTGTTACAACACTGCAACTCATTTCCAAGCAAGGAATGAGGCAGCACTGATAAGGAGGAAGTACCTGAGCAGCTGACATTATGCAAACTGCTTTATTGGTTATGTCACCTTTTTTCTCTACAACAGGTGAGTGATTCTCAACTGTTAGCAAATGTGGATTTGGCGCAGTGACATGTACTGACTCACCCTCTGGGTATTGGTATATGGGTGTTTTAAATTCTCTGCATACCTTTGGTAGCTCTTTGAGTTGATTGGCATCAAGGAGAAGCTCCTCCAAACTGCGGCTGTATCGAAATATTTCATCAGGAACCGTCTGCAAGTTGCAATGCCGCTTGTCCACCGACTCGACGTGGCGGTTGCAGCGCCACAGGGGGATACACTTCAGCATGTCCGGCCGCCGGAGGGGAGGGGGGTCTGGTTGCCGGTGCTACTGCAATCTCCGCATCGGAGGGTGAAGCTGTGGGGGTAAAAGGTCGCTCTAGGAGAGAGGGTATTTTTGCTGGAGGGTCAAACACTTGCTGTGCTCACACGAAGATCCTTAACAAGAGGCCGAAATCCACTTAAGGGACACAAAATAATCCTTTCGATCTGTTAGCGATATTCCCCGTTTCAGTTCAGCCGTGTCCAGTGATTGTCAGGTCCGCGTCAGCGTCATCCAGCCCGGGATCACGATCAACGTAAACAACAACGAAAAAAAAAAAAGAAAGAATGAACGAAAAAAAGAAAACGAGAACTCCCACTCGGATCAAGTGTTTCCTCACTTCTTCGTACTGACGAGAGTATCGTTAGCTTGTTTTTCTACTGCCACCACATCCCCCGAATCAGACCCGAGCTCTGCCGCGGCTAGCTGGAAAACATGCACCACGAAACAAGCCCGCTACGCAGAAAGGCTGCTCCAAGTGTCGCACTCATGAGTGGCGACTGCAAAAACACACACACAGCCACTTGACTTGTGGTACAGATAAAACGGCTACAACGAAACAGCTAACGCAGCACAGAGAGCGAGTCAGCAGAGATTAACCCGAGTATGATAGTAGGATGTCCTCAAGCTAGTTAGTTAGCCAGCATCGGCTAGTATAGATGACTGCACGTCTTTGTGCCTAGCTGCCGTTAGCTAATACTGATATAATAAAACCTATGGAAAACGCCGGCCTTTGAGGTATATTAGCGACATCTCAAAATTATCCAAATAAACTTCCCAGTTAGTTTTCTTTTAGTCCGACGTGCGTGAAAATGCCAGTAGCAAGTGCTGGAGCTCCGTGCGCAGCCGCGCTTACCTCCCCTGTTGCACCGAGGCAGGCCGGTTTGCCGTGTGGGGGGCTGGGCTCGGTTGAGCTGGAGCATCGCCGCTTTGCGCCTCTGTAACGGAGGCCACGACTTGCTTTATTACGCCACCTAGCGGTATTTCTCAGCAAGGTTAAGGAGAAAAGCTTTTCAAACATGCTAGTAAAAGAAAAGAAAATTATATTTTCATCTAATGGTCAAAATGGTCATAATGCTTATAGGCTTTTTACTATTTAACTTAGGCTTTAGTTTTATTTTAAACTGCAATAATGCATATATCTGCAAGAATCCTTGTATGGCTCAGATTTTTACACATAAAGCATAAACAGGAATATACAACGAATATACAATTTTTATACCATAAAACTGATATAGCACATTTTTACAAAGAAGTAAAATATAAGTTAAAACACACACACACAAAGAGAGCTAAATGTAGAGCTTTTAACATAAAACGTTTCTGAGTCTGTGTTTAAATGTATGCAGAGATCAGTTCAGATTGTTCCAGTAAACAGGACCACAATAACTAAAAGCATCATCAGCACACTTAGATCTAATTCTGGCAGCAGTTAAAAGATCGGACTTGGTGACCTGAAAGGTCTAGTAGGGTTATGGACACTGAGCAAGTCATCGATGTACTATTGGGCCAAATCACTGAGTGCTTAATGAACTAGTAGAAGGATTTTAAAGGTAATTTTGTGTTGAACTGGGATTAAACAGATAATACTGTCAAATATCAGTCTGTTTGGGTTCTCCGGCTTCCTCCCACACCCCAAAGACATCTGGGTAGTGGGGTTAGGTTAACTACCAACTCTAAACTAGGTGTGAATGTGCGAATATTTGCCTGTCTCTCTCTGTTAGCCCTGTGATAGACTGGTAACCTGTCCAGGGTATACCCTGCCCCGTGACAGCTGGGATAGGCTGCAGTGCTGCCTCCCTGTGACCCTGAACTGGAAAAGTGGAAGAAAATGGATGGGTGCACCTATCGTCTATGACTTGCTCAGTGTCTAAAACCCTACTAAACCTGTCAGGTCTTCAAGAGCAGATCTTTTAACTGGATGGTAACTTTTCCATGTGTGTGTAAGGACTGTGGCTGCTTCATTCCGAACGAGTTGAAGTCATCCTACTGATGATTTGGATAGTCCTCCAAATTAAACAGTTTCTTGGAAGTCAGAGATATGAATTATCTAAGTTTCTTTTCTTTTCTAAGTTAAAGCCATTAACTTAGAAACTTCTAAGTTAATGGCCATTAACCTCTTTCTGATAGTACCATGCAAAACATGTAAAGGTTAAAGAGTACTGGACCAAAAGCTGATCCCTGAGGAACCCCTGACTGAATCTATTTCTCCAGATCTAACTGAAGGTACTAACTGGACCATAAACACTTCTATCCTTTAGGTGTGATGAAAACCAACCAAATCACAGAGCATTTGAATTAAAATGTCATGATCAGCATTGAAAGTAATATACAGGGTGTGTCATTTATATGGATACACCGTAATAAAATGGGAATGGTTGGTGATATTAAAGTCCTGTTTGTGGCACATTAGTATATGTGAGGGGGCAAACTCCTCAAGATGGGTGGTGACCATGGTGGCCATTTAGAAGTCGGCCATCTTGGATACAACTTTTGTTTTTTCAATAGGAAGAGGGCCATGTGACACATCAAACTTATTGGTAATGTCACAAGAAAAACAATGGTGTGCTTGGTTTCAACGTAACTTTATTCTTTCATGAGTTATTTACAAGTTTCTCTTTGTTCACAGCCATTGACATGTCGAAGAGGTTAACACGTGAGGAGCGGATCGAAATTGTGTTGATATCTGGTGAACGCAGTAACCGGGTCATTGCAGCAGATTTCAATGCAAGACACCCTACGAGACCACCCATCTCCCATGCTACATAAAATCAGGCAGGTGCATAAATTTGGGCACCACAAAAAAAAGAAATGAAATCAATATTTAGTAGATCCGCCTTTTGCAGAAATTACAGCCTCTAAACGCTTCCTGTAGGTTCCAATGAGAGTCTGGATTGTGGTTGAAGGTATTTTGGACCATTCCTCTTTACAAAACATCTCTAGTTCATTCAGGTTTGATGGCTTCCGAGCATGGACAGCTCTCTTTAACTCACACCACAGATTTTCAATAATATTCAGGTCTGGGGACTGAGATGGCCGTTCCAGAACGTTGTACTTGTTCCTCTGCATGAATGCCTTAGTGGATTTTGAGCAGTGTTTCGGGTCGTTGTCTTGTTGAAAGATCCAGCCCCGGCGCAGCTTCAGCTTTGTCACTGATTCCTGGACATTGGTCTCCAGAATCTGCTGATACTGAGTGGAATCCATGTGTCCCTCAACTTTGACAAGATTCCCAGTCCCTGCACTGGCCACACAGCCCCACAGCATGATGGAACCACCACCATATTTTACTGTAGGTAGCAGGTGTTTTTCTTGGAATGCTGTGTTCTTTTTCCTCCATGCATAACGCCCCTTGTTATGCCCAAATAACTCAATTTTAGTTTCATCAGTCCACAGCACCTTATTCCAGAATGAAGCTGGCTTGTCCAAATGTGCTTTAGCAACCTCAAGCGGCTCTGTTTGTGCTGTGGGTGGAGAAAAGGCTTCCTCTGCATCACTCTCGCATACAGCATCTCCTTGTGTAAAGTGCGCCGAATGGTTGAACGATGCACAGTGACTCCATCTGCTGCAAGATGATGTTGTAGGTCTTTGGTGCTGGTCTGTGGGTTGACTCTGACTGTTCTCACCATTCGTCGCTTCTGTCTATCTGAGATTTTTCTTGGTCTGCCACTTCGAGCCTTAACTTGAACTGAGCCTGTGGTCTTCCATTTTCTCAATATGTTCCTAACTGTGGAAACAGACAGCTTAAATCTCTGAGACAGCTTTCTGTATCCTTCCCCTAAACCATGATGGTGAACAATCTTTGTCTTCAGGTCATTTGAGAGTTGTTTTGAGACCCCCATGTTGCTACTCTTCAGAGAAAATTAAAAGAGGAGGGAAACTTACAATTGACCCCCTTAAATACTCTTTCTCATTATTGGATTCACCTGTGTATGTAGGTCAGGGGTCACTGAGCTTACCAAGCCAATTTGAGTTCCAATAATTAGTTCTAAAGGTTTTGGAATCAATAAAATGACAACAGTGCCCAAATTTATGCACCTGCCTGATTTTGTTTAAACAATTATTGCACACTTTCTGTAAATCCAATAAACTTCATTTCACTTCTCAAATATCACTGTGTGTGTCTCCTATATGATATATTTAACTGACATTTTTTATTGTAACAACCAACGATTTATACAGGAAAATGACTATCAACAAGGGTGCCCAAACGTTTGCATCCCACTGTGTTTTATGTCATATTGTTACAGCTTTCCATTTTATTTTATTATTCATTCTTTCTAGTTGCACACAGTACAACTAGATCATATTTTGATCCTGTGTTTGTTCGCAGAACTGACAATACCTGCTTTGGTGACTCTAAAGGAAACAGCTGACAGAAGAAGAAGAAAAAGACTTGAAATATATCTGCATAGTGATTTAGATTGAGGACTACCTATCAAGATATCATTTGACTATCACGCAGATGTAGATATGTACAGTTTCAATAACCAAAGAAGTAATCTTTAAAGACCCCCTTTTTTTCCACTTCGTGCTCAAAACCTTTTGTCCAAAATCGCTGTCATAATGAAAGACTTCTGCACACCATTATACACAAGATTTCTAAAGCTAATAATCTTGCTTCCGTTTTCCATCATGTTCTCTTGAAACTATGTGTTAGAAAAGGAAGCCTAACCTTAAACTGATGCCTGGCAGTGACTTCCACGCCCTCATTCATGAAACGTTTACTGGACATGGGGCTGCTTACTTGCAAAATCTCTGCACATATTTTTATGGCTTTTTACTGATGTAGGCCTATGAATACTTCTTTATACTAAAGAGAGCAGAAAATATCTTGTGCAGTGGTTTTATTGAGATCAGTTTAGACAGCATGTGGCTCAAAACATAATATGAATGGGGAAAAAAGTCAATCCAGCTAAAGCTTAGCTAGCTTGACAGAACCCCCAAATAAAAAATATTCTAGTTAAAAAAACAAAAAGAACCAAAAAAAAACAACAACCCTACACATTACTTTTAGTGTATTGTAAATAAAATTAATGTAAATGTGGCATTTGAATCAAATTTTAGACCCAAATCTGAACATAACCTACTCTGAACCAAGTTATATGGTCAGCATGGGTTACCATAGTGATCGAGCCCTTGAAAACAAAGGCACCTTCCAGCTTTGAACTTGACTTAGCTGACATAATGTATCTTGCTAATAATTAATATATAATTACATAATTGCATAAGTAATCTTGCTTCGTTTAGACCAGCAGTTGTAGCTGCCTTTTTGTACTTAATGGCTTAATGAGCAACTAATAAGAAATTATTCATACATCTAAATAAATTGAAGAGTTACGCTGCTACAAGATTTTAAACGCCACACTTTTTGTGGACAAACAATAACCTTTATTGTACAAAGAAAAGGTGTTTTACATGTTCGGCAATTTCAGGAAAGAAAATAAAAGGGGCTAAAAGCAAGAAAACAAAAACTAATTTTTTCTTTTAAACTTTTACCAGATTGGATTACAAAAATTCAAAACTTGCACCAAAAGGGAGTCTTCACAGATCACAAAGCAAAAAAAAAAGAAAAAAAAATGACACAGAAATATCGTAATGAATCTCCCAAATGGAGCTTTTAACATTAATATCAACAGCAATTTTAAAAAACAAAAACAAAAAAACAAAAACAAAGAGGAGACCATAATAGGTTTCAGAGGCCCGCATCTTTAGCTGCAGTGACTGTGGCTGAGATGGGTTTGGGGCGACAGTTATGGGAGATGGGTGCTGGTGAGCCATTTCCGACACTTTATGCAGAGAGGTCACTGCTGTTGAAACGGTCTTGGTCATACACTTCGGCGACAACTTTGCGACCCCCGAACCAGCGGTCGTTGAGTGCCTGGATAGCTTTGTTCATCTCAGAGGCCATG